GGAGGAATGCGCTGACCCGGTGGTGAACCCACTGGCACCTTCGCACTGCCCTTTTCTCTTGGCATCCTGTTTTCTGTATCTTCTTCCCTCAGTATATATATATATCTATGGTGTCTGCGTGTGGGGCTCTGCTTGGGAGGTTTGTTGCTTCTGGCGATTATTGTTTTACGGCGGGATGCTGCTCGCTGTTTGGGCGACTGTGAGTGGTACGACCCACAAGAACAGAGGTATGGCGAGGGAAAAGAAAAGGTGGAAGGAAGGGAATGAGAGAAGGGGGGAGAATTTCTTTGATGGTATGTCTCTGTTTTTTTTTGTTTTTTGTGTCCTCCTCTGTTGGCGGATTTCTTTCTTTTGTTTGGGTTTTATTATTACTGTTATTCTCCGCCTTGTTCCTGTCGTGATATTTAATCGCTTTCGCTTCGTTATTGATCCTGTTATCGTAATGCTGGTGGTGTGTGTGTGATTGTGTGATGGTTGTTCATTGGCCTCCATCTCATATTAGCTTTGCTTTTTTGCCGCCGTGTCTCTTTGTGGCCATGTGTTTCCCGTTTTTGTTCGGTGTTGAGCACCGCCGTGAAGTTGTGCCGCGTGTCTTCTCTGCTCCCACACGCCACTGACTCAGCCGCGGGGGGCAGGCGCACAGTACATCGCATCCCCTTCCCTGGGGGCAGCACCAGCACGCGTCGGGCATATATTTCTCTCCTCCTTTTCATATGCCCCTCTTCGCCTTTAGGTCGTTGTGTGCAATTTTCGTGTGTGTTCACATGCCTCTTTTCGGCCTCCTGCTTGTTTTGTTGGGTTTTCTGTCCTTGTTTCCGCTTGTCCTTTTTTTGTCTTTTGCGCTCGCTCGCTTCCTCTCTCTCTCTCTATTGCCTCTGTCTGGGTGTGTGTGTGTGTGTGTGTTTTTCTGTTGTTGTTGTTTTGTATGTTTGTGTCCGAGGAGGCGCACTCGCTCCGCGTAAACAACGCTAAAACCGGAAAAGAGAGAGGGAGACGCAGCAGCAGTTCGAGTGTTTGTGTGTGTGTGTG